GCATCCCGCTTGAATGTCCCACCCGCCCGACCCGCCCGTCAGGGGATCGCCCGCCCGTCGTGGGCTCCCGCCCGAGACTTTCTTCAGGAACGGCGCTTTCGCTTAGGACTTCCTCGAACGTTCACGCTCTTACCTTCCTGCTCCTCCTCCCGCCTCCCTCCTCCCTCCTCCCTCCTCTCCTCCCTTCTCTCTCCCCCCTGTCTTCCCTCATCCTTTTGCCTCTCTGCCCTATCCCCTCTCCCTCCTCTCCTTCCTCCCTTCTCCCTCCCCTCTCCTGCCTCATCCCTCTTTCTTTCTTTCTTTATCTCTCTCTCTCTCTCTCTCTCTCTCATCTCTCTTTCTTTCTCTGCCTCTTTTATCTGCCTGTCTGTCTGTCTCTCCCTCTCTATTATTATCTCTGTCTCTCTCTGCCTCTAATCAACCGCCCACCTCTTCGCTCCTTCTCTCATGGCTTTTTCCCTTTTCCTTCGTCCCTCCCCCTCCCTTCCTACCACTCTCCCTCGTTCTCCCCCTCCTCTTTTTGCAGGGCCAACACCAATTCCAATGACGGGCACATGTACGCCCACGAAAGATTGTCCGCCCGTTCAGGTTTGCCCGCCTGTCTAAGCTTGTCGCCCCCCGCACAGAGAAATAATCCCCCCACAGGGGTGTGATCGAAGACAAAAAGGGCGGGTATCGACTGTGTGGGAAACTCGTTTTGAATGGCACACGGGCAAGTCAGAGCGAACAGTGTTATAATGATTGTTGTTGTTGTTGTTGTTTTTGCTATTGTTCCCTACCTGGGATCTGCCTAGAAGGGTTCTTACTCTCTTGGCTTAAAGGGCCGGGCAGTGCTACCCGCCCCATGGCGGTTCCCCCAGTATCCGGCCCGCGGTTCCCCCGGTTGCGTCCCCTTAAGCTTAGCGTTGCTTATATCATCTTAGTATGGCTTATATTTCATGTTAACTTAGCTTAGCTTCATCTTAGCTCAGGTTTATCTTAGCTTAGCTTACCTTCATCTTAGCTTCGCAGAGCTTTGGCATAGCAGAGCACAGCATAGCACAGCATAGCGTAGCATTGCAGAACGCAGCACAGCATATCATATCATAGCCCAGCATGTCATAGCATAGCGCAGCATATCATCTCATAGCTCAGCATAGCGCAGCACATCGCAGCACATCATAACACAGCGCAGCATCGCATACCATAGCATAGCAACTCATATTATATCATAGCATCGCGCAGCTTAGCATAGCACGGCATATCATAGCATAGCTTAGCATATCACAGCGCAGAATGACACAGCATAGCTTATCATATCATATCATAACAACGCATATCATATCATATCATACCATAGCATCGCACAGCGCAGCATCGCATATCATATCATAAGATAGCGCATCATATCCTTGTATTGTATATCGTAGCATAGCAGAGCATAGCAACTAATGCTGCTTTCCTAGGGGGCTCCAACTTCTAGGTAGGGTCGCACTGGGGTCATTGTTGTAATTGTTGTTTGGTGTCGTCGTCCCACCCGCGACCCACCAGCGACCCACCCCGCGACCCACCCCGCGACCCACCCCGCGACCCACCCCGCGACCCAACCCGCGACCCACCCGCGATCCAACCCGCGACCCTCCCGCGACCCACCCCGCGACCCACCCGCGACCCACCCCGCGACCCAACCTGCGACCCACTTGTTGACCCACCCGCGACCCACCCCGCGACCCATCCGCGACCCACCCGCGATCCACCCGCGATCCACATGCGACACACCCGCGACCCACCCCGCGACCCATTTGCGACCCAGTTGCGACCCACCCGCGACCCAACAGCCACCCACCCGCGACCCACCCCGCGACCCACCCGAGACCCATTTGCGACCCACCCGCGACCCATTTGCGACCTACCCACGTTGGTTTAGCGAAAAAATTCGGCGCCTGCGGCGGGCTCGTTGTATAATTTGTAAAGTTTTGGCGCTTGCGGCGGGCTTCCCTGGAGTTTTGCAAACTGCCGACGTCCCCACCGCCCCATCACTCTTATCCGCATCTGCAGTGTACTACGGTTATTGTTGGACACCCTGAAGGCGCTTTCGTGCTCTAGCTAAGGCGCCGTCTGAATTTTCCCTGAAACGTTCAGGCGAATCGGAGTTCCGCCCGAATCGGCCCCCCAACAACAACAACCCTCCGGCTCGGTACTTCTTCCTTGCTCACTTGGGGGCGGGACTCTTGCTCGCGCCCCACAGCTGCCTTTCCAATAACATTGGCGCTGCCGCTCGATACCTCCTGCTTTTCATCTCAGAAAGAGCGTGTTCTACCGCTGCTGGCGGAAAACCGGGGGGGGTCACTACCGGTTCGAACCCGTCCCCCCCCCCCTCCGGAAAACCGGGGGGGGGTCACTACCGGTTCGAACCCCTCCCCCCCCCCCCAGTTCATCATGAAAAGGGGGGGGGTCACTACCGGTTCGAACCCCCTCCCCCCCCCCCTCGAGCTCGAAAACCCGGGGGGGTCACTACCGGTTCGAACCCCCCCCCCCTCGAAAACCGAGGGGGGGTGCGGACAGTGGTGGGGACGTGTGGTGGTGGGGACAGTGGTGACAGCGTGGTGGGGACAGTGTAGGTGGTGGGGACAATGGTGAGGACAATGGTGGGAACAGTGGGGACAGTGGGACAGTGGTGGGGACGGTGGTGGTGGGGACAGTGGTGTGGGGACAGTGGGAATGTGGTGGAAACAGCAGGACAGTGGAGGGTACAGAGGTGGTGGGGACAGTGGTGAAGGCGGTGGCAAGGACGGCGGTGAGACAGTGGGACACAGGTACAGTGGGACAGTGGTAGGGACAGTGGGGACAATGGTGGGAACAGTGGGACAGATCAGTGGTTCGAACCGGTAGTGACCCCCCCCTCCGGTTTTCGAGGGGGGGGGGGTTCGAACCGGTAGTGACCCCTCCCGGTTTTCGAGCTCGAGGGGGGGGGGGGGGTAGGGGAGGGGGGGGGTTTTGTCGGGGGACGGGGGGGGGGGAGGGGGAGGGGTTCCAGCAGGGGGGGGGATTTTCGGAGGGGGGGGGGGGGGGGTCGGGTTCCGGAGGAAAAGGGCGGCAATTTTCCACAGTAAAGCGGCGGTGGATCACGCTCTCTCTCATCTCAAGAACGGCGCTCCCGCCTCAGGGTCCCCTACAAACAACGACGCTCCCGCTCGATCTTTCCTTCACTTCAACTCAAGACTCTCAGGAGGCCCTGAGGTTTTCCTAGTCCCTCTCGAACCTTAATCATTTTGTCATTGTTGGACACCCTGTTGTCCAGTAGTTATCATTCAGGGTGTCCAACAATAGTATCTGTTTAGCGACGACAGCGATGACGACGGCGTCGTCGTCGCCATCGTTGTCGTCGCTAAACAGTGTTCTTATTGGACACCCTGAACGCGCTTTCTCGCTCTCGCGCCTGCTCCGCGCGACCTCTCTCTCGCTCGTGTCCTGGGGCGTGGCGTCGTCGCTGTCGTAGCCGCCGCCGCCACCGCCGCCGTCGTAGCCGCCGCCGCTGCCGTCGTTGTCGTCGTCGTCGTCGTTGTCGTCGTCGTCGTCGTCGTCGTCGTCGTCGTCGTCGTCGGCGTCGGCGTCGGCGTCGGCGTCGGCGTCGGCGTCGGCGTCGTCGTCGTCGTGGTGCTCTGGAGGCCGTCGGGGGCCTGGAACTCCTGGGGACTCCAGGGCCATGGGCATTGTTTGGAACAGGGAGGAGGCGGAGGAGGAGGAGGAGGAGGAGGAGGAGGAGGAGGAGGAGGAGGAGGACGACGACGACAACGAGCCCCGGCGCCATCAGAAAACGGCCGACGCAAGAGCGGTCCCCAGGAAAGGGTCGAGAGCCGAGGGGCCTAAGCTCTGAAGCTTCTCTCCAAGGCTCTGGGGGCTCTCCAAGGGACTCTCCCAGAGTTTGTGAGGCCTTTCCCTGAGGTCTTAGGCCACTCAGTCGTCGTGATACCTAGAAGCATGGCCTGGGCAGAGAGACTGCGAAGCCGTGCGCCATCTGGCTGGATCCGGGCCGACCGCCGCGGGCGGGTGATCGGACCCCCGCGTGCAAGAAAGAATCCCCCATGATTGGGGGGTGCTGGGTGCTATCATGATGGATGCATGCTGCATAAAGAAGCAAAGAGCATTCGGGTAAATTGATTGTTGTTGCTGCTCTTGTTGTTGTCGTCGTCCGCGCCCGCGACCCACCCGCGACCCACCCGCGACCCACCTCGCAACCAACCCCGCGACCCACCATGCGACCAACCCCGCGATTCATTTTGCGATCCACCTCGCGACCCACCCGTGGCCGACCCAGCGACTTGCCCCTTCACTCGTTACGACGGGGGCGCTCGTACTCAACGTTGATAGTAAGGATGGACGACTTTCGAAGATTTCCCCTCCATTTTTTCATTCGGCCCATCCTTGGCCACTTTCGCTGGCCGCGCCCCGTTCGAAAAGTGCGGGCATGGCCTTCCAAGGCCCTTGCGTCCGTATGGCGCATCCTTGCTATCAGTTTTGATGGCTCGTTCGGTTCTGACGTGCGCCTCCAAGGGGGGCGCCTAGCACTAAAAAGCCCGTTTGCGTCCCAGAGGAGGCGTGCCGCGCGGCGCCGGCCGAGCGGGGACGCAGCAAGGGCCCCGCGCGCGCCACGACGTGCGCGGGCTGCCGCTACGTGCCGGTGCCGCTGCTGCGCTTCGCGGGGGCCGTGCAGCCGTTGGCAGAGGCGCTGCTGGCCGAGGCGCTCGCGGAAACCGTCGCGGCGCCCGACTGAGAGGTGGGGTCTTGCCAGACATCCGACGCATTGAGCGAGACTGGAGCGGAGGTTTTTTATTGTTTGCGGCCTCCATGGGGGGCCTCGCCCAGCCCAGGGACCGTGAAACGAGCGACCCAGGATGCAAAACGGGCTTCGTGCAAAGTTTCAGGACTTCTGGGGACAGCAAGCATCAAGACATCGGATGCCTGGGCTTGCAGCCCTGAGCGGTGTTTCCTGGCAGGGTCGTGCCGATGTGGGGGCTCAG